ATAAAAGAACTCTTTTTTCTTTTATTTTCTTCCAGAAGAAAACTTGTCATGAATTTAATTAATTAAGATTTCAAGGAAACTAAGAGAAAACAGCAAAGCTCTGGACAACATGGCTAAGATGATCACTAGACACTCCACAGACTGGCCATCTCTCAAAAACCCAATTTAACATTTGGAAATGTTATTTTTATGTAATATTTCACTCCCCATTGTACCACTGGAAATTTACAGGAAAGGAAAGTGAAGTCGCTCAGTCATGTTTGACTCTTTGAGACCCCATGAGCTGTAGCCCACCAGGCTCCTCCGTCCATGGGATTTTCCAGGCAAGAGTCCTGGAGTGGGCTGCCATTGCCTTCTCCAGGGGGTCTTCCCGACCCAGGAATCAAACCAGAGTCTCCCACATTGCAGCCGGACGCTTTCCTGTCTGAGCCACCAGGGAAGCCCCTGATCACTGGAGATTTACAAGCTATTAAGAAATCCTAGGCTTGCTAATGAAAGTTTGTTAACATTCAGTGCTAACAAATTCAGTCAGTGCTGAATCTGTGTATGCTGGATATTGTAGTCTGAAGTTTTAGGTTACACTATCAACCCTAAATCAACTAAAAACAAGTGTTTTTTTCTCTAATTTACAGATTTACCATTGTGAATACCTATGACTTACTAAGTATGTCATAAAGGAATGAATCACTCTAATGAGTCTGACAAATGTCTTATTTGGGGAAACATAAAAATCTACCTCATAGAGTAAGACCCTAACAAACACACAGAGAGTATGAAAAGGTGTCCCTAAAAGTAATTTCAGTAAGAATGACAAAGGGCCTTTGATTGGGGGATTTGTCCCTGGAAAGATCGTGCATGCATGCAGGAACTCAGATTCCATCTGTTGCTTTAGCCTCAACAGACTTTATTGTATTGACTTTGTGCTCTTATCCGATGGCAATAAATTCCCACCAGAGTGAACACCAGCTTAGCCAGTGACCCCTGCTGTTCAAATCAGACTATGGAGCAAGCCTTTCTTAACAGAAACACCCTGTGGCTTCTGGGCCGCCCTCTACGAGTGACCTTGGGGTTTTGCACTTTCCATTCAGGATTCCCTAATGTGAGCAGTTAAGAGATGCTTCATTCCAAGAGTCTCATCCGCAGTTGCAACACATCAGTGAATGATAAACTACTGGGACCCCAGGAAGAGAGGGGGAAATTGGGAAGAAAGAAACAAGGGAGAGGCAAGGGAAAGTATCCACAAGGTTCCTTGCAGACCAGCGGTGCTCAGTATTTCTTTAAGTAGGAATACCCAGTGGACTAGGTGTACACTAGCAACACAAATTCCAAGTTTCTGAAGCCCCAAGACCAAGGAATTACTACTGGTCCAGCAAATGTGAGACTTCCTACTGTAAACAAAAAGTTTCTGGGGAGGACACCTGCCCTGAACAGAAACAGAACCTCCTTCCCAGAGGCCCAGCCACTGAAACACCCAGGCGCTTTTGGTTTCATTGGTTACATTTGTTTTGATTTTGTTTTGTTGTGTTTTGAGGCAGACCGGGGATGCAAGTAGGACAGACCATGTGCTAATTCCATTTTTAGAATACCCAAAATGTCTAGATTCATTTTCCCATTGAGGAAAGAAGAGAAGGAAAATGGAAAGTGGTCTCTCCGAGACCAGTCTCAGTAATGAGCCTCTAGCTGTTCTTGGAAAAAGCATACAGTCAAACAGCTTTCTCAGTTCATCCCAAGTCGGCTTTCCCCTCCAGGACTGGGGAAGAGCAAGAAAAGGATCTGTTGCATTAGTAGATGATCACTGTAGGTGTAATTTTTTTTTTTTTTTTTTTTTTACCATTTTGGAGCGAATGTTTTTCAATCGTTTTCTATGGAGCTCCAAAAGCATCCATCCACATTGCCTTCAGATTCTCAAAGAACAAGATCGCTGTACTTGATACCAAGAGACCTCGGGAACCAGGGGTTGCACTGGCTTTGGACCCCCTCCCCTAAAACAGAGAGTTCACGCAGATCCCAGCAATTACATGTCTCGCTTCGCAGCCCAGTAGGGCCGGGGGACAACTCCTGTTTCATCCCCAAAGTACCGTCACCCGAGCCCTGCGCCAAGGCCCCGGCAGAGCGCCGACGCAGTCTTGGTCTCCGCCGGCCCTCCAGCTGCCTTCCTCTGCCAGCTCGCCGGGTCAGAGCCTCCCTAGGCCTTTGGCTAGCTCTTGCAGCTCCGATCTGGGGCCCGCTGGCCCCTTAGACCTTAAAGAAAGAGATACGCGCGCGAGCTCAGGTTAGCAGTTGGTAAACTGTTCGCCCTCAGCCTTGACTTTTCTTAAAAGGCGAGAGGGAAGGCTTTGCTGTCGCAGACCGGGACCTCGGTATCGGAAATCCGCCAGTGACCCGCTGGGCTCCGAGCGCGGGAGTCGAGCCGCGGTTACTGGCCCCGCGCGCCTTTGCGCCCGGCACTTCCCAGTCCCGCGGCCGTCGGCGTCCCAACGGCGGGTGCAAGGGAGCCCCAAAGGCGAAAGAACCCAATAATTCCGGTTCCTGCTGCACAATTTTTTAAAAAAAGAAAACAACCTCACGCCCAACGTGGAAAAATATAAAATAGCTCTCAGCTGAGCCAACGGAGGAAAGGAAGGCGATTCGCAACCCTCAAGGGGAAACCATCTGTTTTGGAAATGGCGCCCCCACGTGGCCGCCGCGAACCCCACCCGGGGACCGGGTCCCCGGAGAAGGTGACGTCACCCACACGGCCAGCAGGCGCGCGGCCGAAGCCAAACCTCCGCGCAGCCCCAGACGCCCGATCGGTCCGCGCGCATCCCCACAGGCGCCGGGGCCCCTGCAGCTCCAGCAGCCGGGCCACGAGCTGTGTGACCCGGTTCTGGTTACTTCACCCCTCCGTGCCTCAGTTCCCTCGTGACTACTCATTTTCAAAATGATACGAGTCACACCCACCTGCCGAGTGGCCATGAGATTTCCGTGTACGGGGTGGCACTCAGCCGGCCTGTTAGGGCGTCGGCGCGGGGAGTCCTTTTTCGTGCTTCTCCAGGGCCCTCCGGGCTTGTCCTCTGTAACTGCATTCTTCCCCGCTCTCAATGGGTGTAAGGGTTAAAGTCCCAAGACGCCGTGCATTTTAACAAGGAGAGTCGAAAGCCAAGCTCCCCAGTGTTGAGGAAGAGCAGGTCAGTGGTCTGCAAAGAAGCTTGTTTTGAACAAGCTTGTTTCAAAGACACTGGGGGCAAAGAAGCTTGTTTTGAATTCGAGGTTCCCCTCCACCGGTGCTAGAGCAGGAGAAACTAAGACGTCGGCTTATTACAAGTATTCGTTCTCCCGCTTCTTGCCTGCACCCCCTCTCGTCCGAACACCTTTACTCTCCTATTCTCGAGGGGCTGGGGTGGGAGGGCTCATTTTCCCGGGTTCCCCGCCGAGGCAGAGCAGACGCAGGGGTCCCGAAGAAAGCCTCCGCCGCCCCTCGCTCCAGCGCAGAAGCTCTGAGCAACAGAGTGAGGGTCCTGCTTGCCCAGAAACTCTTCCAGCCATCACAGGCTGAACCAGGCAGCCGAATTGTTCTGGCAAGACTGACAGGAACTTTTTTTGTGCCTCAACATTCTTCAGTGCCTCGACAACAAAAAACTAGCGGAAAAAGAGGGCCAAGTCCAGAACACAGGGTTGTCCAGGTTCTCAGGCCTACAGCATTAGGGTGGATGGGTGTGTGTGTGTGTGTGTGTGTGTGTGTGTGTGTCCAGGTTCTCAGGCCTACAGCATTAGGGTGGATGGGTGTGTGTGTGTGTGTGTGTGTGTGTGTGTGTGTGTGTGTGTGTGTCCAGGTTCTCAGGCCTACAGCATTAGGGTGGACGGGTGTGTGTGTGTGTGTGTGTCCAGGTTCTCAGGCCTACAGCATTAGAGTGGATGGGTGTGTGTGTGTGTGTGTGTCCAGGTTCTCAGGCCTACAGCATTAGGGTGGATGGGTGTGTGTGTGTGTGTGTGTCCAGGTTCTCAGGCCTACAGCATTAGGGTGGATGGGTGTGTGTGTGTCCAGGTTCTCAGGCCTACAGCATTAGGGTGGATGGGTGTGTGTGTGTGTGTGTGTGTGTGTCCAGGTTCTCAGGCCTACAGCATTAGGGTGGGTGGGTGGGTGTGTGTGTGTGTGTGTGTGTGTCCAGGTTCTCAGGCCTATAGCATTAGGGTGGGGTGTGTGTGTGTGTGTGTGTGTGTGTGTCCAGGTTCTCAGGCCTACAGCATTAGGGTGGGGTGTGTGTGTGTGTGTCCAGGTTCTCAGGCCTACAGCTTTAGGGTGGGGTGTGTGTGTGTGTGTGTGTGTGTGTGTGTCCAGGTTCTCAGGCCTACAGCTTTAGGGTGGGGTGTGTGTGTGTGTGTCCAGGTTCTCAGGCCTACAGCTTTAGGGTGGGGGGTGTGTGTGTGTGTGTGTGTGTGTATGTGTGTCCAGGTTCTCAGGCCTACAGCTTTAGGGTGGGGTGTGTGTGTGTGTGTGTGTGTGTGTGTGTGTGTGTGTGTGTCCAGGTTCTCAGGCCTACAGCTTTAGGGTGGGGTGTGTGTGTGTGTGTGTGTGTGTGTGTGTGTGTGTGTGTGTGTGGCGGGGGTGGGGAGGCCCTCTGAGGAGTGGATATCCACCACTACTTACCCTGAGTTTGGGCGAAGAGTTTCCGTTCCTAAAACCGACAGCTGCTTATTGGACCCCGGAGGAGTGGGTTGTGGATTGGTGAGGAAGGTAACATTGACTCTCCGTGTGAAGAAGAAAAGAAAAGCCTTTGACGTGTTTTGATAAATTGCATGGATAGGAGGAGACCCGAGGCCCCAGGGACAGCACGGGGCACAGAGGAGTCCGGGGCCCGGAAGGCGCCGCCGGGCTGCCCCCGTGCGCCCCTCTCTCTGCGGCGGCACAGAGACCCGGGCTGGGGAAGCGCGCCGCCACGGTCACCGAGCGTCCGTGTTCGTGCGTTTTTCACACAAAGGGCAGCGCCCGCGGCCCGGCCTTGCTGAGAGGTTATTCCCAGATCGCCGGCAATCTGCTTGTCCGGCGAGCTCCACTGGCACGCGCACACACGCGAGGCCGGGCGCGAACTAGTGGCCAAAGGGAAAGGGAGCGGGGCGCCACCCGACGCGGGAGAGGAAGCCCGCGAGGGTGAGGTATGGGCGGGGTGGCGGGATGCGCGAAGGGGCCGCGACCCCGGATCCGGCAGGCCTGAGCGCGACGCTAGGCGCGCGGAGATGCAGACCCTCCGGCGGCTCCCGGCGCCCCCTGGCGGCCAGTGGGGCCGCGCGGGCTCTCGAAACAATGCCTCCGACCGCGCGGGCCGAGGGCAGCCTGGGTCCCCAGCCTCTCCCGGGCACTCGGCCGCTCACCGCCCCGAACCACCCCCACTGGCTTCCAGCTCCTTGTTTCCCAGGCTCTTGACCGCCGAGGGCGTCTGAGAAGCGGAGGCGATCCAGGGGAGGGCGCTGGGGCTTGGGGCGGTGGAGGTGGGAGGGCCATCATCCCAGCCCCGGGCCCAAGTCCTAACATCTCTTAGAACTGAGGCTTCGATCAGCTGCTAGGTTCAGTGTGCTTCTGTTCTATTAAGGTTTACTTTTTAAAGTACTTTGTACTGGGGAGCGGGTCTTTTAGATAGACGGCGGGCGACTTGGGCCTGGGAGGCCGCCAAAGCCAAAGCATCTTCCGGAAGGAGGGAAATAGAGAGGCGAGGAAGGAGCCTACTGACGGCTCTAGGTGGCTGGGAAGGAATAACAATGCGCCCGCCTTCCATATGAAAGAACCGTGGCGGCCCGCTCTCCGGGGATCCTCTCTTTGGACCTGCACCGCCAAACTGCCAGGGGGCTTAGGGTGCGGAGACCATCAACCATCCCCAAGGGGAAACTTGGGGCGATTAGGAGAAAGGAGCCCCCCCCCCCTCCACATACACACACACACACACACCTTCCTCCTAAGGCCCCTAGTCCCGGTTACAGCTGTGAACTTACTGTTTGGAGTCCTCCACGAACTGGAGCCCCCAGCTCCGTGGGCGCACAGCCCGACCTCTTGGTTCGCCTCCGTACACCTGGCGCCCTGCACGGTGCCCGCTGGCATTGTGTAGGACGAAGGAGCGACCTCTGCCAAGGCTTCGTGGGTGTCTAGGCAGGGTTTCTTCCTCTGCCCCCTACCCCTTCCCTGCCTGCCCACCAGCGCACTTTCTGCCAGCCCCCTGTGCCCAGCACCAGCCTTCCCAAGCTGTACCCTGAAGGCACATAGCCCTGGGTGCCCGCCGCCAGGCACAGAGTGGGTTAGAGCGCGCGGTGCTTTCGGGCCTTGAGTCTGCCGGTTCGTTTCGGAAGGGGAGGCAGGTCTCTTCTCCCAAACCGGGAAATGGTGGGCAGTCATGTGTGATTCTGATGAGACTCTGTAGAGGCGCTTCCACAGTGACAAACTTTTCTAGATTTACCCCCAACACAACACCCCCAACGTTTTATTGACATTTCCCTTTCTCATGCAAAAGTTTTGCTCCGACGACTCTACTAGTATAAATTCTCTGCCTGTGAAAGGGCAGGCGGGAGCGCTCTGCACGGGTGGGCCAGACCGGGACCCGCGGCCGGGGATCCAAGAGGAAAGCAGCCTCGCCGAGCGGCCTCGGGCGGGCCGGACCCTGGCGTGGACCGCGGGCACAAAGAGAGGGCCGGCAGCTGGCTCGCGGCCGCCGGGAATGCAGTTGCGCCCCGCAGCCCCGGGCCCAGCAGAAACTTCAGGCTGGGGTCAGACAAGCCCCCGCCCGGGCCTCGCGGGGGCAGTGCGCGTTCCCTCGGGACTCGGCTGCGAGGCCGCCGTTCGCGTCCCTCCATCTCCCGCAGCCCGCTCCCTGCACGCTCACTGTTGGGGCGCCACTGCCAGGCTCTTCTATTCGTTTTTCTTTGTTGTTTACAGCAGTCCTAGCGCGCGCGCTTGGCAGCGTCCTGGGGGGCGGGGGGGCCGGGGTCGGTGGGGCGCCGCCAGAATTTCCTTCCAGGGAGCGCGTGAGGGGCATTCTCAACGGAAAACCAGACCCTGAGAGCAGTGACCAACCCTCCTCGGATTACTCTCCACTGGCTCCTCCCTTGCTCCCCCCCACCACCTCCAGATTTGCATAAAAAAGGCCAAGAAAACTCTGGCGGGGCCCCAGCCGCGGCTCACTCTGCTGCCCCCGGTCGGAGCCCACCTGGAGCTGCGCGCGGGCTTGCAGCGCCGAGCGCAGCGCAGAACACCTCGCCCGCGCAGTCCCCGCGCGCCCGGCGTCTCGGCGCTCGCGTCGCTCGATTTCCAGGCCCCGGAGCCGCGCCAGGCGCTGCGAGCGGACCCGGGACGAGCTCCGGCGCCCGCCGCCTCGCGCTTCCCCGGCTCGGTTCCCTCCGCCCCCCGGGGGTCGCGCACCCACGATGCCGCAGGGCCCCGGCTCCCTGCTGCTGATCGTCCTCGCCTCCCACTGCTGCTTGGGCTCGGCGCGCGGGCTCTTCTTCGGCCAGCCCGACTTCTCCTACAAACGCAGCAACTGCAAGCCCATCCCGGCCAACCTGCAGCTGTGCCACGGCATAGAATACCAGAACATGCGGCTGCCCAACCTGCTGGGCCACGAGACCATGAAGGAGGTGCTGGAGCAGGCGGGCGCCTGGATCCCGCTGGTCATGAAGCAGTGCCACCCGGACACCAAGAAGTTCCTGTGCTCGCTCTTCGCGCCCGTTTGCCTCGACGACCTGGACGAAACCATCCAGCCGTGCCACTCGCTCTGCGTGCAGGTGAAGGACCGCTGCGCTCCGGTCATGTCTGCCTTCGGCTTCCCCTGGCCCGACATGCTCGAGTGCGACCGCTTCCCCCAGGACAACGACCTTTGCATCCCCCTCGCTAGCAGCGACCACCTCCTGCCGGCCACCGAGGAAGGTAAGCCCTCCTCCTTACTACACCCCCACCACCAGCTCCACGAAGACCCCACATCCCGTTGCGTCCCCGCCGGGGTGCCAGTCCCAGGCGGGGCAGACGCTCTCCTTGCCCTGATGTGTCAGCGTGACAAAACTGAGATAATCACCTCCGCCGCCGCCACCAAAAAAAAAAAAAAAAATACACACCCAAGTCTTTCATTCCCTTCCCTTGCCAATTGCTCTTTCATAGGAACAGTTGGAAAGGGAGGCGCGGGGCGGGGGGGGGGGGGGGCGGAGAAAATGTAGAACTGAAAGAGGTCTTTCCTTTGTAGATACATGCATAATTCTTTTAAAAGATGCTAGCACTGGGGCCGCAACTGAGAGAGTTGGAAGTGGCCCTCCGTGGAGGAGTTGGCCGGTGAGCACCCTGGCCAGAGCACCCTGGCCTGAATCTCACGCAGCACGTTTTTACCACTGGGCAGGATTCTAGACGCAGGGACATTCCCTACAGCCACGATCGCCAAAATGTGCAAACAGATAGTCTTTTAAGGCACTCTCTGTTTGCCTTTCAGGCTTTGAAAAGAAAAGGTAGAACTGGCTCATGTGTGTTGAAAATTCAGCTTTGGTTCTAAGTGCCCAGGTGTCCAAGAAAGAAGCACAAAGGGAATCTCTAGAACTCATTTTTCTATCACTAATCAGCTTTTATCTTAGGAGTGGTTTTAATTAACTGGAGAAAATCGTGCAAAAGAGAGTTTCCCAAGTTTTTTTAGAAAACAGAGGGGGAGTTCCTGCGCAAAAACCATCAAAGCAATGAAAACCTCATGGGCTCTTGATATTCTTCCTGAAAGGAAAACATATACAATGTGTCTGAGCTGATTTAGGTCCCCGGGGACAGAAAGGGGGCTTCCTAATCCCTTTCAGGGCTCCAGCAGCATCTCCCTTTCAATCTCTAATTGTTTTCCTACAGCCATCATTAGTTAAAGAAAATGCAAAGTTGCTTAGCAATCTTTCCTGGCAGGCACCATGAGTCTGCAATCATCTTATTGGTTAGATTTATAATTTATTGCAAATGTTTGGCATATTTCAAACATTTGTCCAACATATACCACAGACCAACCAATACAGGTTAGTAACATTTTATATACATTCTTAGAGCTCCTAATTGGAAAAGTTTCATTTTGTTTGTTGGAGGGAAGTTAAGGGCAGTTTTATGTATGTTGCTTTTGTTTTTATTTTTCACAATCTGCACCAACTTTATATACTACATTTCTCAAAAAAAAATCATTTCCCCCTTCACAATAAAAGTTTGCATTTTTCAAAATCTGCTCTGCACTTTCTCCACGTTGATAAATAACTTCCAAAATAAGTCATACAGGTTTTCTTTCCTGTGAAAATGCAATTTCATATTAATGAACTTTCACCTAAATTTTAAAGACAGTATTAGTATATTTATAAGTGAGAGAAAATGAATGTTTTCTTCTTTCCACTTTCCCAAGGAATCGGACTCTTTTAGAAGAGCCGTTAGCCGGGTCTCTCATAATTGAGCTAGTGCACATTCCTGGGTTTGGTCAGACCCCAGAGACAGTTTGCTTCAACTTTCTTTGGCTTCTGGAAAACCTTTGGGTTTTTGTTTGTTTCCGTTTTGTTGTTGTTTTGTCTGTCTGTCTTCGAGCGACTGAAACAGGCAAAGAGAGCAAAGAAGACGCTGCACCAGGGAGGAAGATAAGAGTGAAGTAAATGCTGCCTAACTTGGCAGAAAGCACGAGGTGATGCAGGCCCAGTTAGAGCAGGCTGGAGCTGCTAGCCAGGTGTGCTTCCAAAGGGGAAGCGCTCAGATGTGAGCCTTACCACTAGCCACCTTGCCCAGCTCAGACTTGAAACTCCCTTGAAATGACCTCCCCGCCCCGCAGAAGCAGCTTGGCTGAAGAGCCAGCAGGGGCCATGCTGCAATGATGGCCTGCAGCTGAAAAAGATGGTCTTTCGGCCATCTGTGGTGGTTGCTAGTTCTCCAAAATCCTTCAAGGGTCTTTTAGTGTTTTCTCCTCAGAGAGGCCTTGGGGCTAACTTTTTCCGAGACTGTGTCCCAGGAGTGAGAGGAAAAGCAGAGCTACAGCCTGTCTCAGTTACCTGCAGCCGCACCCCCACACCCCACCACTGGGAATACCTGTACACAGTATGTGGGCATTTTTGCCTGTCAAAAAAAATGGGAGGCATGGGACACTTCCTTAGGCATGAGTGGTCCTTCTTTTATAGATGAGGCAGAGTTAGGGGTCTTACAGGACAATTCTTCTTGCCTGAAGAAGCCCCTGCGAGTGAGTTGTTTACAAATGCCACCTGCTGTTTCCTTTCAAGCAAAGTTACTAATTTTTCACGTTTCTAGCTCCAAAGGTATGTGAAGCCTGCAAAACTAAAAACGAAGATGACAACGACATAATGGAAACTCTTTGTAAAAATGATTTTGGTAAGTAAACACCACCACCAAGTGTTTTATTTTCCAGTACAGCTTAAAGATACAATTCATTAAGATGTTACTATTACTGGATAAAGTGAAAGTCTCTCGGTCGTGTCTGACTCTTTTCGACCCCATGGACTATACAGTCCATGTAATTCTCTAGGCCAGAATACTGGAGTGGGTAGCCTTTCCTTTCTCCAGGGGATCTTCCCAACCCAGGGATCCAACCCAGGTCTCCTGCATTGCAGGAGGATTTTTTACCAGCTGAGCCCCAAGGGCAGCGCTTTACTAGATAAAGTTTGGGTAACATAGCATCACAGCTCATCTTTCCTTGAGTTAATCATCTAACAGGTTATCTTAGTTTCCTCTCTACATTAACTATCTTGTATTGAATTGTATCTTTTCTTAGGTGAGAGTCATTGCTCTGTTAAGCAATAATCAAATAATGAGAATTGTTCATATCATGAATTTCAAATGGCACATTTTTCACTTCACTTTGGCTTTTTCTTGCCAGCAAGCATAATCCTGGCCGATGTTCTCTTTTAGTCACTTAAACATGTGTCCCAGGGATGGAAACATGTAAATATTAGCCTCAGTAAAACAGATTCAAGACATTAAGTTGGCCCCAGATAGAAGTTTAGTGCAGTGCCAAACATGATGCTCCGCTTCTCATATTCCACTGTCACTGAGTATATCCAAGGTATAGTTGATAATTTGGTGGAAAGAGTTTCCTTGAATTGAAGGGGGAAAAAAAGCTAGGAATTGACTTTGGCAAGATCATGCAAGGTGCTGAGATGACAGAGTGCTCAGGAAATCCCAAGCTCCATGGCATGCAGATCACTTCCCTTAAGGGAGAAGTCTAAGAGGAAAGAGGAGACTGTCCACCCAGAGCTTCAGCAGCACCTCCTCTGAGTCCTCCAGCCTCGGTGGGTAGCAAAGGAGCCAGCGGGACATAAGATCAGCAGTAAATTCAGAGCTGGGTGTCATAGAGCTGCACCCAGATTCCTGAGACACTCATGCTTTCCCCCCACTTCCAAGAGCAGGCACCTCCTGGTGTGTTTGAAGGGTTGGTGCCCTTTAAAAGTATTTATTCAAGCAGAAGGTGGAACTTACTGGTAAACAGATGTGGTCTCTGTCCTAGCAAACAATAACAGACTCTAACAGACCTCTAGGAACACTTTTACATACTCAGCTAAACCCTGAGGACAGAAACCACTCCAGTGCATGGTGTGGAGGAATAACATCCCACCCTCCCCTTACAACTTCCAGCCAGAAGTCTCAGACCTGGCCAGGTCCCCAAAACTCTGAGGACCACCAACCACTGCCCCTTACAACCCTGGGTCACTTCCAGGAAGTGTTGTTGCATAACCTTAGCTGCTCCTAGGACATCCGGAGCTACAGGAGAAGCTTCACACAGCTGAGGAAGGGGAAGAAGAAGACAACTCAGTTTGAGCCACTGCTCCTCCTCAGCAAGAGCCACAAGTGGCTGATGGGGTTTCCCATGTCTATACTCAAAGGCAAAAAACTCTCAGAGTAGGAGATGGCCAGGCATGTTGGCAGGAGCAATGCCAAAGCTCCAGAGCCTTACCCAAAACATGGTTCTTAGCTTTCATGCTCAGGATTTAAGGGCAAATTTTTTTTAATATAATTTAAATAAAGTTTATATAAAAATGTATATCATTTTATTCCGGCAGCTTATAGCCTTTGCACTAGCTTTAGTACAGATCTCTCTCCTGACTTCCATGATATAGTGAAGCTCCAAAAAAATTGAAATTAGGGCTCAGGCCTACGCGCGCGCACACACACACACACACACACACATCACCTGCTTGCTTAGTGGTTCACCTTACGTAAGATCTCTTTCCTAAAGATGCTGCATCCAGACCTGTGTGAAAAAAGTGGGTGTGTGTCTGTCTGTCCGTCTGTCCCAGTGTTCTCTTTCCTTAGAGGAGAAAGCCTTTCAGAACAACTTGAAGTCATTACACTTAACGTATCACGCATGCAGACACCTCACAAGTTTGTTTTCTCTTTCTTCATGTTCATTTTGTCCCAAGGGGGATAGTAAACGTAAATTGTATGGGGTGAGTTCTATACTGGTTTATAAGTGGTTTTCCACATCGCCTATGTAGTTTGGGGGAGTAATGAAAGGGTAGGAGGAACAGGGTAGAAATCTGACGTATTTAACTTGAATCATCCATGAAAGTATGACAGTCTCCCCACTGCACTTCTGAAGGATGAGAAAGATGGAGAAGACCTCCTGATTTTAGTCAGGAACATACTGGTGAAGAAGGAAAAGATCAGAACTGCCTGCCTCTGTATGCAACCTTTTGTTGGACCAGACAGTATTGGGTTGGCTAAAAACTTCATTCAGATTTGTCTATAACATATTATGGAAAAAATCTGAACAAATTTTTTAGCCAACACAATATCATCACCTCTGCCTTCTCCCACTTCCTGCGTCCCCCCTCATACCTTCCATCCAGGGCAGGAAAAGTTATTTAAGAGCTCTGATTCCCTATATTTGGTCCCAGCAGAAAACTCAGGGAGAAAACATCAGAAGTTTTCCCGTGGTAAGTTCTTACAAAGTCAGTTATTTCATAGCCAGAGAAAGATAAGCCATAAGTCTTCCCTCTGATTAAAAGTGATGATTTTTCTGATGTTTTGGGCTCAAGAATGTTTAGTCTGACCAGGCAAAATCTCATGCTCTGTCTGTGCTGTTGATGAGGGTCCCAGGAAGCATGATAATCACTTCTCCCACCATATACCTTCCCCACTCCCAGGCCTTAGGCAGAGCCCGTAGGAACGTGTAACATTGCCATGTGACTCATCTCACGATAAACCCTGAGCACCTGACATTATGACCCAGATGCACCTCAGACAAACAGTGGTTGGCCAAGTCCCAGCACCCTTGATTTACCTGGGTGAGCTTTGGTCGTTTCCTGGTTGACTGGAAAAGCCATACTTAGTAGAATTCCCTTTCTGACAGAGAAAGAAAGAAAGAAGGAAATCTCCAGAGCAGAGATTTCTCACCAAAAAACCTCTTCCTCTATTACTAACTTAAACAATGCACTAAACTCCATCAGAGTCAGGAAATCACACCTGCATATAATATATAAGGAACCATCGTTAACACATTATAGTTGGGCATGTGAATGCACCAGCCAGGACAAGAAATTTGATACTATGGCTGAGATCCCAGTGGTGTTACAGGTGGTGGTTCGGGGACTCGAGTTCTGAGAATTAGGCTCAGCTAAGGCACAGCATAACTGGGTGACCTCTTGTAAATCACTGAATTTCTCTGGATTTCAGATTCTTGGTGTACCAATAAGAGATTTTAGCTAGATGATCCCTTTCAACCTTAAAATTCTATCCCTTCCCTGACTTCATGGAGTCTTGAAATTTAAATCCAGCATGTATGTTTGTAGGGTTTTCATTCCCAAAGCATACTGTTCATGACTATCAACTGTGTCTTTTATAGTAAATCACTTACTTTGGCTCTTAGCATTCTAATGAGTCTACATATCCATCTTGGAAGCAGTACATATATGATCTGTGAATGCCTTCGCCTTGGACAGGCAAATGATAGCATATAAGGATGAGGTCTTCAGAAAAACACTTTTACAGCTAAACATGTTGTGCTCTTAAAAAGAGTCTTGGATATTTTTTCTCCAAGTTACTTTACCAAATCAAATGCAGCTGTAAGATCAATTCTCCATCCCTGTAGTCTGCTCTTTAGAAAACAATGATTGTGTGATATAATTTCCTTACAGGTTTGTCCAAAAACCTCTCCGACGTCATAAATTGAGTTTAAAGTTTACAGCCACAGAAGGATCGTGTTTCACCTAAGAGTCAGGCATTTCTTTTCATGGTGAATTTCCCAATAGGGGAAGTCATTTTTCGAGAGCACACTCCACATGCAGCCTTCGTAGGAACACAGGGCAAGGAGGGAAAATCAATTGAGTCCACAGGGGCAGTTTTTACAGGATGGTTGGTTTGAAACAAAGTGCCTGGTCAACCCTTTGAGGCTTTAGCAATGGAGCCACCTGCTGCCCTCAGCTCCCAACCCCCTGCCTGCGGCCCCCCACAGTCCGGTCAACCCTGGGGGCTCCTCTCCCTCTCCCAGGCGAGTCTAGGGCTCGCAAGGGGATTTGAGCCCCCCTCATCGCTGGTGTGACCCTGCCCCCTTTTGTGCTCACAGCACTGAAGATAAAAGTGAAGGAGATCACCTACATCAATAGAGACACCAAGATCATCCTGGAGACCAAGAGCAAGACCATCTACAAGCTGAACGGAGTGTCCGAGAGGGACCTGAAGAAGTCGGTGCTGTGGCTCAAAGACAGCCTGCAGTGCACGTGCGAGGAGATGAACGACATCAACGCGCCCTACCTGGTCATGGGGCAGAAGCTCGGTGGGGAGCTGGTGATCACCTCCGTGAAGCGGTGGCAGAAAGGCCAGCGAGAGTTCAAGCGCATCTCCCGCAGCATCCGCAAGCTGCAGTGCTAGTCCCAGGCCGGCCTCGCTGCCGGCCCCTCCCAGGGCCCCACCGACCCTCCCCCGCTGCTCTGGGACCTCAGCGCGGGTTCCCAAGCACAGTCCCTCGGCTCTGGCTCCAGCCTGGAGCAGCTTCCCCTGCCTTTTGCACGTTTGCACCCCCAGCATTTCCTGAGTTATAAGGCCCCAGGAGGCCTCAGGAACAGATAGGTGTCTTCACATAAAGGAAAAACCCACCCAAATCTTGTAGAAATATTCCAACTAATAAAATCACAAGGATTTTTATGAAGTTTTTAAAAAGGTCACTTAAGAGCTATTTCAAATAGGTGCAACTGTGACTCTGGCTTGATTTGTTTGGTGATTTGATTTGGGTCCGTTTCCACTGAGGTTGCCTTAGCGTGCAAACAGCTTCACTTTTCTGTGTGGCCCGAACTTCTCCTTTTCTGTTGTGGGTCCAAAACCCCGTTGAGATAAAGCTGGCTGTTATCTCAGCACCTCTCTCAGCTGCAGCCTGAAACTCAGCACCTGAATCGTGTAACAAGTCATTTGCATTTTACATCCCTGTTGGGAACTTAACAACTGTAGCATGTATTGCATTTTGCATTTCCAGGTAGAGTACTTCCATTTATAAAAACCACATTAACCACCATAGCATGAGTTCTTCAAATAAAAGGCAAAACAGACCAATTTTATGATTGACCCGAGTACTTTAAACTTTGTTTAAAATACTTTTTTACTTAATTTTGCAGATTAAACCATTGTAGCTTACCTGTAATATACATAGTAGTTGACCCCAAAAAGTTGTAAAAATATTGCTTTAACCAACACTGTAAATATTTCAGATAAACATTATATTCTTGTATATAAACTTTACATCCTGTTTTACCAAACCCCTGTCTTCTGTCTTGTCTTCTTAGTGGGAGGAACTGGGAAGGGAGCTGAATGAGAGGCATCACCTCCTCCCTCCCGAGGCCCAGCCTTCCTGCGGTTTGAAGTGTCTGTTTCCTATGTGACTCCGAAAGCACCTCACCTCTCCACCACCCATCTCCTCGCTCCTGCTTGTGTCTCCCACCCCACACAGATTCTACCACTGCAGACCCTGCAGGGAGGCAGAGGTGCCTGCTGTGCTCTGGTTTCAGCCGTCCAGTGGCAGCTTGGGGGCAACAGAAGCCTGAACCTAAGGTTCATGAGCTTGGCGGTTGTGCTTTTCATTTCTGCAGATTTTTATAATGAAAAAGAGTCACTATTGCAAAAATGTTCATTCTTTCCCCACTTAAACTCTAACCCTCAGATAAACAGAGCCATGGTTTGAAGAGCAGCCACTGAAAGGCAATGGGTAGGGAGGGGATGGTGAAAAGAGAACAGGAAGATGAGCAGGGCATCCATCCATAAAAAAATCCATCCAAATGCTTCATTGTTTTATTTTAGGAAGCTCCAGAGAAATTCTAGTAAACACATGAAGAAACTAAGGCTCAGAGGGGTTAGGCACCATGGCTAACATGAGACTGATTCAGAGCTGAAATTCAGGCCTTTCAGATGGCAAATTCTGTCTTCTGTTCAATCCAGGGTGGATTATAGGAGCAGGGTGCCACATGTCTATTCAACAAATGTGCACTGCACATCTGCTACATGTCTGGCCCCATTCTAAGTGCTGGGGACACATCTATCAGCTCCTTGTCCTTACGGAGCTGACATGACAGAGTAAAAGAGAAAGAATCACAATGACATATTTATAACATAAGTTACATGAATATAAGAACAGGTAATACATGAGATCAACAGTGTCCTCAACAAATCTGAAATTTTGAGTGGTGTTCCTGCGCAGCCTTTATGTGACAGCATTTTGTTGATTTAGTTGAAAAGTTTGCTGCACACTCAGCCATGACCTCTCTATAGCGCTTCAAGCTCTGGTGGCACCAAAAGGCAACAGAGCCCCACTGCTTACCTGAGCTGCACAATTTGGGCAATCTCTTTCCTCATCTTCTGGGTTACCACTTGACTCTGCTTCTCATCCGAGTCTACAGACTCCTAACACCATCCTCTTCCTACAAGGCACCCATGGACTAAATGAGGGACACTCATGATTAAGGCCATGACTCATTGTAAATATTTGAAACCAGAAACTTGGGCCCCTGGGAAAGGCAAGAGAGAGAGAGAAGATAAAACACAAAAGGACAGTAGGCAGACGCTTTAGGAATTAGAAAGTGGAAATAGGTACAACACATCCAAAAACAGTGGAAAGAAACAATTGGAAGATGCTGACCTATCTGAACGCTCTCTCTCCAATCAGAACAGAAGTCTCCTGCCCATGTTAGAGGACGCAGAGCCTGGCGCTCCGGAGAGCGTGGCAGATATCGCCTCCTTAGGTCGTGATGTGAGGAGGTAGTAGGCACTCCGGTGCCTGCCTGCCACTTACACACCTCTCTGTGGATTTCCCAATCCCCCCACACCTCTTGTTCCCATCTTTGTCAAGGCTATGAGCCAACAAGACATGCTTGGAAGAGCACGTAGATTTTCGGTTCATCTTTCATTTTGTTTCATTGTTTTCTTTTGCATGATGATTCAAATATAGATATGGCTTTGAAATAATCATGACTTGTATTCTTTCTTAGTTTTTCAACTATCAGATTTCTTTTGTAGACAGGTGAAAACATGAATGTTCATCCATTATTGGGGAAGAAAGCAAGGAATCAAAAGACATTGGATTTTTGAGTTTCCTAAGATGATTCATCACCTGTTAATAAACTGCCAAGATATCCCACACAGGAGATCAGAAAACTTTAAAGATATAAAAGCTACATATCTACTGCACATGCAATTCCTCCTCCCTTTCCTACATAATTTGAGAAATGAGTTGTTCTACAGGAACACATCTGTAAGAGTTGTGGGGCAACATTTCCTAAGTGTTCGAAGGTCCTGTCTATGTGCAGTGAAATTCATAGTGTTAAAAAGGACAGAGGAACCCATTTTATCTAACAGTACCCTCCAGTCTTCATTCTCTATTCTCTTATCAAATGATAATTTTTGCCTTTCAAATCTTGCTTACTACTTGGTTTTCAATGTTCTTGAGGGGGGAAGGGTCATCCTGGAAAGCAAGTCAAGGTATATGTATTTCAGGGTGCAATCACTGCTTCTGGGTTATGGAACAATGTGATTTCTGCCCCTGAAACTCATTGCACAAATACAAATTAATTTATTAACTCAGCAAAAATTTTTCTGTGCACCAACTTATCACCATTGATGTATTCATTCAATAGGTGTTGAGTGCTCACCTGCATGCCCAGGTGCTGTTCCAGGTGGTGGATGCACAGTGACCTGCCCTCCTTCAGCTTCTAAACTAGAGTCAGGAATTGTCCTCAGTGCTCTAGAAAGAGACGGTTCATCCCCCAAAGGAACTCTGAATCCAGTGAGGGAGTGAGACATGCAGACAAATCATCCCAACATGCTGTGTTAAAAGGGAGTATAGACAAGCCCAAAGATGGCATAGAGGAGAGAGTGTTTATCATCAGTTTAAGGTGTTGACCAATCAACACTGCACAACTACCATGCTGATGGTGATTTCCAGACACTACAAATAAACCTAGCATAAGGCACATTGCCTTTATAATCAATAAATGCCCCATATTCTCAAATTACAAACAAATGAATTCACATTTGGCTCAGAAATAAATAGCTTTCAACATAATAAAATATTTTTGAAGCTGTTCACAAATTGTCCAGAGAATGATGCAGATAAAAAACTGCTTAAAAAAAAAAAGCTCTATTGATAAAGATAGCAATTAATATAGTGTTAGAAGAACAAATCAATGAGTTTAGCTGTCACAAGATGTCCCAGAATACAGTTATAATAATCACTAATTTAACAACCAAAATAGTCTGTTATGCTATGAAATGAGCAAAGCATGAGAACCTAGCGTCACTAACTGGCTCCCCAGTAGAAATTCACCTAAAAGCCTATGCACTCTCTCATGCATGAACATGCTTGAGAAAATCTTCTAGTCTGAAACAACTCAGCCGACTAGAAACTACAGTCCTAGTGGCAAGTACCTTGGTGTAGCTTTTGAAGTTCAGAGACACCTAAGAAATCAATAGTTTCTGCAAGCCTGACACTACTTATGCATAATCAAGATTACTACTCTATAAATTATGCTTAAGCTCAATCCATTCTCATTTCCTGTGTATCCCCTACTTTAAAGTGTGATTCTCAGAGCTTGTTTCTGTGTGAGGAGGCACCCAGATTAGGGAGGCGCATCAGTCTGCAGCAGCCTGCAGCAACCGGTCTTACCCCAACACACCCCTCTGTCTCACCGGGTTGCTCCAGGTGGTAGAGCCAACCACCGCCTGATCGGAAGTAGTTTAAGCAAAGAGGGATACGTGGAACCATAAGTACTAGGTACTCTTCCACTCCTCCCAAAAGATTCTTCCACCTCGCACAGAGAGGATTCAGGAGCCTCCATGCTGCCCTCTAACAGCATCAGGCTTCCAATCTACAGCAGAGCGCTGAGTCAATTCAGCTATTCAGCAAGCTTACCTTGAGCACCTACTACATGCCAGGTGCTGTCGTCGGGGCTGAGGTCCCAACAATGACCAGCACACAGTGGCTTCTCTCGTGTGATGGCAGTCTAATGTGACACACACATGTGACATATAATGTGAACTGAGACCCCAAACTCTCCAGACCTTCTTAAACACAGCCTTCCATTTGTCCTTATGGGCACAGATAAATTCACACTAAAATAATATTAAGAATCAAAATCTCTAGAGCCAGAAAGTGTCACTAGAGAACACTTAAAGAATAATTGACACCAGTTTTACACAGTCTCTTCCAAAAAATAGAAGAGGAGGGGGTGTTTCTTGACTCATTATGAGGCTAATATTGCCCTAATACCAAAACCAAATAAAGGACAAAGAAAACTATAGACCAACATCTCCCATGAATTTAGACACAGAAATCCTCTATAAAATATTAGCGAATTGAATCCAGCCATGTGTGAAAACAATAACACGTTACA